TGAGTGAGGGACTGATGGCTGTTTGCAGGCTGGCCATGGCCCCCAGCCACCCAAGCTCCCAGTGGAGGCTGGCTGGAAGCAGGTATCTGGGATTTATTTAGCTTCTATAATGGAAACTTTGTTGCCTTTTGCGGAGGCCACAGCCGTCGGGAAGCTTGGCTTCCTCCATTGCTGGGGCAACCAAGCCTCCGGCTTGCTCCAGCTCCGAGGCTGTTGGCCACCATCTTGGTTGGGTTAATTTGCATATAGTCGCTCTGATTGGTTGGTGGGCGTGGCTTGGGCATAGCAAAGGTATGGTTAATTAGCATCTTTGTCTTTTATTAGTGTAGAAGATATAATTTCTTTTAAGGGAGAGGTTGCCCAGCTGGCGTGGCTCAGCGATTGAGCATCGACCCAGGAACCAAGAGGTCTCTGGTTCGATTCCCAGTCAGGGCACATGCCTGGGTTTCAGGCTCAATCCCCAATAGGGGGCATGCAGGAGGCAGCCAGATCGATGCTTCTCTCTCATCAATGTTTCTCTCTACCCCTCTCCCTTTCCCTCTAAAAATACATACATACATAAAAAGGGAGAGATGTGGGAAAACCCACTGAGCCCGCTGCCCAGCCCCTGCCCACATGGGCACCACCTGTGAGGCCTTCCAGCCATCAGTAATCGCCTGCTCCAGCTCCTCCCAGGTGACCATGGTGAATTCTCCAGGAGGCTTCGTAGTCATCTTCCGACAGAGGGGTTCCTGAGGGCACAGAGAACATGGGTGCGCCTGCGCACACACACCCAGCCGAATCCGGCGGTCTCAGGGACAGAGTCGAGCTCACAGGACCAGCGGCTCCTTCCACAGCCCTGGCCCCAGGAGAAGTTACTGGGCCCTGGGCGGCTGGCTTCCTGTCCCCCCTGGGCCCTGATGGAGCGCTGGGCAGCCATGGAAAGGATCCCTTCAGAGGCAGAGGGTGTACACATCATCCCCACTCGGAGGGACACAGACATCCAGGGCGGGGGTTTGGGGGAGCCCAAGAGATGGGGCCAGGCTGCAGACACCCCTCCTCCCCCACCCCCTCGCGGACATTACCAGAATTTCCTCCCAGTCTTTGACTCTCTTTTCTACTTCCTCAACCCGGTGCAGGAATTCCTGGAAGAAGAGTGCAGAGGTGGCGGGTCAAAGCAGGCGCTCCTGTGGACCCCCCACCCCCAATCCTCACAGGGGAGAGGAGCAGAGGGCAGACAGAGGTGGGTAAGCCAACAAGAACGGGACACGGGGTGGGGCAGGGCGGGTGGGAATAGGGACAGATGTGCCAGGAGCAAAGGCTACTGCTGGGATGGGAGCCTGTGGTCCTGGATCCACCTCAGACAAACCACTGAGGAGACACTGCCTCCAAGGACGAGGGTAGCGAGGACTTTGCTGCTTAAAAGCAAATTGCCGCCCGCCCTGCCTGGTTTGGCTCAGTGGAAAGAGCATTGGCCGGCGGCCTGCAGGGTCCCAGGTTGGGTTCCCATCCAGGGCCCGATCCCCACTGGGGTGTGGAGAGCGGCCACAGCGTTTGGACAGGTTCAAGCCTCGGACTAATGCGAGGGCACGGTCCTCTCGTGGCAAAGCCACGTGCGAGTCCCAGGTTGGAGGGCAACGCCTCCCAGCACAGTGGCAGCCAGAGGCCGTGGCTGTGAGCTTGACCTTATGGTCCGAACCTGTGGGCCCACGTGGCTGAGTGATGTGGGCTGCGGGAGGTGCAGCAAGTAAACAAAGCTTGACCAGGTGCCTGTAATTGAGTAGGTTTGAAACCGGCGAGAACGTTGTAAACATCTTGACATGGCCTTTACTTTGCCTCCTGGAATCTGGCTATAAAATAGACTCGGCTTGCAAGCTGTGGCGAGTGCCTGAGAGGGTGCAATGTCGCACGGAGCCCCGGCTTTATTCTCTTGTCTGTCTTCTCCATCCTTCATTGCCCCCTCTCAGGTTCACCCCTGGCTGTGCAGGCAAGGCACATAGGGGGTGTGCAGGAGGCAGCCAATCAATGATTCCCTCTCATCATTGATGTTTCTTTCTCTCCCTTCCTCTCTGAAATCAATAAAAATATATTTTTAAAAATAAATAAAAGCAAATTGCTGAAGCTTGTAACTTCGGCAAACATCCATCATCTAAGATTCTAAGAGTAAATAAAAAGCCTCTTCTCTAAACACCAAAACCATAAAACCATATAAACACCACACTTTCAAAAGCAAAGCTTTTGTCCTAGCCCGTTTGGCTCAGTGGATAGAGTGCTGGCCTGTGGAGCAAAGGGTCCTGGTTCGATTCTGGTCAAGGGCACATACCTGGGTTGTAGGCTCCTCTCATGCCCGGCCCTGGGAGGGGCCTGTGCAAGAGGCAACCAATTGATGTGTTTTTCACAAACACATGGATGTTTGTCTCTGTATTTCCCATTTTCTTGCACTCCCCCTAAAAAAAAAAAAAAAAAATCAATGGAAAAATATCCTGGGGTGAGGATTGACAAAAAACAAAAGCAGAGCTTTCCAGCCAGCGTGGCTCATTGGTTGAGCGTCAACCTATGAACTAGGAGGTCACGGTTCTATTCCGGTCAAGGGCACATGTCTGGATTTCTGGCCGACCCCTGGTGTGGGGTGTGCAGGAGGCAGCCGATCAATGATTCTTTCTCATCATTGATGTTTCTCTCCAGTCCTCTCTGAAATCAAGAAAAATATATATTTTTAAAAATTATTAAATATTATTTTTAAAAAGCAAAGCTTCCCACAACAAAAATGAGCACCGCTGGGGTCTCAAGGCTTAGAATGACCCAGGGGGGCAAAAAGGCTTCTGGGCGGAGCCCCCCGCGGGGCCTGGGCCTGCCCCCCCCCCCTTCTGCCTCTGAGCCCTCCCTCCCCACCGCCTGTCTTGGCCGGTCCCTGGTCCCCTCTGGAGGCCTCCAGGGCAGAGGCAGGAGCCCGGACAGGGCAGCATCTGGGGAAGGACCTGCGCGTCTTGCTCCAAGTGAAAGTGTTGCTGCGCCTGCGGTTGAGCTTTGGGGGCGCTGAAGGGGTGACCCCAGAACTCTCTCCATCCCTGCCCCCCTCTTCCGAAACTGAGCTTTGTCTCTCAGTACCGACCACCTTATTTACCTATTTGTGAATCCTCACCCGAGGATTTTCATTGATTTTTAGAGAGAGTGGAAGGGAGAGGGAGAAACACACACCGAGGTACCTGCCCGTGACCGGGATTGAACCTGGAACCCTTCAGTCCGAGGGCCGACGCTCTATCCACTGAGCCAAACCGGCTTCCCTCTGGGTGGCTTCGGGATCTTTGCGTGTCTGATGAGCAGTGGGTGGGGCTCCCTGAAAAGGGGCCGGAAAGGGGGCTGCGAGAGACGGGTGGGGTCCCCGCCGCCTCACCAGCGGGTTGAACTCCGGCACCTCCTGCGCCCTTGCATGTTCTTCCTTCAAGATTTTCACGTCTTCCATGACCTGCTGGAGCATCTCCATGACCTGCAAGGCGAGTGGGGGCCACATGGGCGGGGCTGCACGAGGCTTGGCACCACCCCCACGTGATGGCGGTCAGCTCCAGCCTGAGCTGGAGAGCGGATTGGAGGAGGCCGGTATGCTCTCACCTGGGGACCTTCCTTCCACATTTTCATTAACGCTCGCGTCTTCTCGGGCATCTGCTTGGCCATCCCAGGCACGGTCGTGGGCATCCCCGGAGTGGGCGGGGCCACCCTCGGTGCAGGCGAGACCAACCCCGGCAGAGGCTTTGTTGTCTCGGGCTTCGCCTTGCCCATCCCTGGCACCGCCTTGCCCATCCCCGGCACAAGCTTGGTCTTCGGGAGCGCGCCCTTCTCCATGGTGGGCGCGCCCTTCTCGGTCATGGACGCGCCTCTCTCGGTCATGGGCGCGCCCCTCTCGG